AAATTATTGAAATCGGACTAAAAATGAGGCCACTTTTCTTCATATAACGGTGAATTTCAGAAATGCTTCAATCTTCAATATTTCGAAATTTAAAACGCTAATTTACTCAAAATTTATACAACCCGGCTCACCATGTAGCGGTAGCTTTCGGAAAGACGAAAATCATATTTTTAATACTTTCGCCGGGTATTTAATGTTCGGCTCCGCTCGAATTTAGACTTTCTTACTTGTTTCTTTTTTCCTCATTACACTGTGCGACAATTTTATGACAATTCAAACCAGCCCGGATTTTGCTAATATTTTTTGAAAGTATAGATATCCAGTAATAAAACATTCGATGGATTTGCAAAAGTTAGCTCGTATTTTTATTTTATAGCCTACTAAAATTTTCATGTCCCAGCCTAAGTAGTTTAGTGGAAAAATGGTTGTAATAAATGTTTGAGCGAAATTAAAGATTCAGACGTTTATAGTAAAATTTCATGGGAAATATTTTCGTAGAACATTTTAATCCATTATCTCCCGCCTGAAAGGATCGTTTTGATCCTTATTCTGAATAAAAAGTATGAAATTTTGATGAACATTTTTTTAAGTTTGATTACTTTTTTTTATTAATTTTGTACAAAATTTGTTATTGTTAAAAAACTAAATTACGAATAGTTCTGTGAGTGATTGTATGTATTTTCGAATCTAATTTTTGAGTTGCGCCTCTTTGGAAGATTGGGCAAACACTGCACACCTATTTTAGTGTGCATTATAAGCAACTAGATCCAGATGCATAGCATAACTTTTGTCACTAGTTTCAAATTCGTTAGGGAGCACATTCGAATTGACTGGACCTACGACTGCAATTGTAGTGCGCAACGAAGCGCATCTGTGAAAATAAAACGAAAATCGATTACTCGTCAAGTGCAAAACGACTCATCATGTCTCTGATTCGCGCAAACTTCAATAAGGAAACGGCAGCAGCCTCTGCCGTTGTGGGCCGCGTTAACATTAACGTAAGCGCATGTCCTCAGAATCTTCGCCGCCTCCCACTCGTCCAAATGCCTTTTGAGCCTGATGTGCATGGTGTGCAGTGTTGCCAGAAAAAATTTCGTTTGGAGCTAAATGGGTCGAAAAAAGAGCTAAATAATACTAATAGTAGCTAAAATGAAGAGCATTTTTTTTTAGGTTGAGCATTTATTGACGGAAAGTTGTTTTTACATTTTCCACAATTTTAATATACCTAAAAAGCGAATTTTATATAATTAAGTGCTGAAAACAACTTTTAAAACCAAAATAAGGTGCATATATTTTGAATTCATTGCTATGGCACTTTCAACACTAAAATGTATGCACTTACTTATACATATAAACTAGACAATGAACTAAAAATACTTTACAAACTGTAAAAATCTGCAATTTCAGATATTTGAATTTACCAAAAGAACACAGGTTACGAATAATTTTTTTTTTGCAAAATTTTTCCGAAAATTATATTTCTTTCTCTCCTTAAGGTAAAATTAGTACGATAAAATACAAAATCCGTGCGTCCAGAAAAATGATTTGTTTCTAATTTTTATCCTAGAACCAAGAGTTTATGGTGAAGTCTGTATTTTCCCGTGAATACAAATGTATGTTTTTCGACTGCATTTCGAAATTTGTAATTTTGTCAACGCTTAAGTTTTGGCTTTTCTTTTCTACCGTGGCCGCCTGGGAGAGAATACGCCGGCTGAGCATATCGGACCTTGAATTACTGCCAGGTATATGTAGCTTGTGTGCTCCCGCGCACGTGGCAAAAACTAATCGACTTTCTTGCCCATTTTCCATTTGCTTACGCGCCATTTTCATTAGGAATGAGTGATGAGCGATATTTCACTACCGGTGATTTTATCACTGTGATTTAAAAATCGCTTATAGTGACTGCTACTGACATGAATGAAAATCACATCTGGCAATAGCTAGTAAACAGAAGTTGCGAATTGTGATTTTTCTCTATCATGGTAGAAATGGTGATTTTAAAAATTTTAATCATTCATTGTGAATATGCTCGTATGTATCATATCGTCGTTTAAAGTACAAAATCGCGTATCGTCATTCTGCAAAACCGCGTAACTGACATTTGCTGCCAAAAATTGGATTTGCTCACACAAGCTCTTGGCACAATCCTTATCTATTCATCCTGAAATATACTAGCCAGAAATGCGATTACTTTTATAAAAAAGAGAACCATTTTGATATATGTGTGTTTTTACTCTCCAGCAAAATAATTTAGGTAACTTCACATACGCGGTTTTGCACTTTAAACGACGATATGTATATTCCGTTTTTTTCATTACCGTTCCATAGTTGTTTTAAATCGACATTTTCAAGTACGTAGTTTGATTTGCTTGATCACGTTATTTGCGTTTCAGTTTTTTACTTCAAAAATTTTATCAACGAGTAAATAAAGCTGGAAGTATTAATAAAAGACACAAAGTGAAATATGGCAATGTTTGAGTGAATAAATGAAGCTTTTACCTCTTTTCCCTACATGTACCAACACTGATTTGCCATCATTTATTAGAACTATTACCCATTTCTGTGTTATTAAAAGAACTAGCGATCGCAATAGCCATAAAAAGTCACTGTGATTTAAAAATCGCAATCACTCTCTTCACTGATCCTGAAAAATCGTTCTTTCGCCCATCTTTATTAGAAATGGAACTTTTCTAAGTATTAATCGAAATAAAATAACATAAAGGTATTGCAAATAGCCTGAGATCACAGAAGCCAAATAAATTTTAGTCAACACTTGTACAATGAAATTACAGATTTTTAATTTTAATACATTACCAGATACAACTAAAACTTTCTGGAGCTAAAAAAAAAGTGCTAGATAATTTTGAAAAGAGCTGGAAGCTAGATCCCAAATTTTGGAGCTAAATAGAAAAATAAAGAGCTAAATCTAGCTCCAAAAGTATAAAAATGGCAACACTGGTGGTATGGCTGATAATGTGTTTGTCGATTGCTCTGGACGTACGAAGTTAGCGTAAACGCACCTTGCGTTGTCCCTTTTTCGTCCCTGTCACGTACCCATGTCATGCGCTCTTTTATGTACATATGTATGTATGCATGTATGTATATGTATACATAAATTTGTGATACATACATATTCATATACAGTATCGGCCAATACAATAACACCCCGTTTTCAAAGTGATATTGTTTGCCACTCATGTTTATTTATTTATTTTTAAGAATTTTCAATTCAAATACTGTTCACTCTCTAACAAAACCCATTAAAAATTCAACAAATTTTCACCGAAATTTCAAACTTCTTTCTGAGAAGTGTTCGAATGTTTTTGAGTACACAGTTTTACAGCCAATTCAATTTTAGTCTAATAATGTGCAAGTTTTAAGTGGCTAAAAATTACATTTGATTTTTTAGAATTTTTTTGTCGTAGTATTTGCTTTCATATAACGAATAAACATAATATGGACGCAAATCTCGTAAATAAACCGATTTTCCATACAAACTTAAGTAAGTTTATGAGATTTACATGATTACAAAGCACTAACGTATTTAGATGAATTGCGCTAAACTATTTTTATAGGGAAGAAACCCGCAAGACCTGCGGCTGAAAAAATTCTGAAAAATCAATGGTAATTTTTAGGCTCTTGAAACTTGTCCTTTACATAGTATTCGACTAAAATTAAATGGGCTATAAAACTGTGTACTCACAAAAATTTGAATACTTCTGAGAAAAATGTTTGAAATTTGAGTAAGCATTTGTTGCATTTTTTGTATGTAGTTTTCTACAAAGTTTTAAACTTGGGCTTCTATGGTTTTTTTTTTTTTTTGAGAGTGAACTGTATTTTAATTGAAAATTCTTAAAAATAAATATTTAAACATAAGTGGCAAACAATATCACTTTGAAATGGGGATGCTATTGTTATGACCGATACTGTATCTACATACATATGTATACATTTCTATAAATATGCATCTATGTGAATACATGTGTTCACGGTAATATACTCTAGACTAGGGATGTTTCGAATGTCATATTTTTCGCATTCGCAAATGAGGATGTTAGGAATAACAAAAAAAAAAGCTATAATCAACTTAATTCATCGTTTTTTTTTACTTAAATATTTTGTGAATTATTAGAACATTAAACGAGTGCTTAACCTATACAGTGTTTTAATCTAGTAGTCAAAGTTCAAAAGGGGGATATTATGTTTCAAAGTAATGTTGCTGCCTTTTCTCACATGATGCGATTTCTTAGAGGCTCGTATATAATGCCGGCTGCACTGAACAATTGCTCACTTGGAACAGATCTGTTAATTTGTCGTATTTTAGTTTAGTTTTCCACTAATCGAGAGGATTTTCACCGAGATGAGCTCGTTTTCCTTTAAGATAAACCTTCAATTGAGCTTTAATTTCACATGTCTTAATGTCTCAAGATTCCTCATCCGAGCCTTCGCTTTCGATGGAGGAATCTAAAATTATTTCTAGGTTGCTTATAAGACTTTTAGCAGTACTTGTTGCCAATATACTACTTAACCGTTTAGTGCCCGAAGCTAAAAGCCGCTTATTGTCCGCACCCGGGTTAGAGAGACTTAGCGCCATTTCAACAATTAGGGTGGACCCATGTACACATTTGCATTCGCAAAACATTCCTATCATTTGTTGCGAATGCGAATGTATAAAATGATGCGAATCATTCGCATATCGAATGGGAATGCAGATATTCGCAACATTCCTGCTCTAGGCATACGGACATACGTAGATGCAAGTATATATGCATGTATATACATACTACATATATATATATATATATGTAAATATGTGGTTTGAAATTCTGCCAGTACGGCTCTGTAGCGTAGGCACCGTCATCACACAACCATCACCACCATCAACGTCACCGTCATCGCACGCTGCACACTTTGTCAATTCCTTCATTATACTGTTTTCTCAGTTTAATTTTATTTTTATTCGTCTCTTCTATGTTTTCTTTTTTGGTTATGTGTTTCAGGTTGTGGCTGTGTTATTGGTATTTTTATGCGAAGGGTGTGAAGAGCAGAAGCAGCACAACACAACACACCGAAAGCACAACCACGGCAACGAGTACGGCGCACTAACAACAAAACGTACATTCATCTTGCTCGAGTGTATCGGCGACTGCGACGGCAACGTCTGCTACTGCTGAGATTGAGACGGACACGAGTGCGACCACGAGCGCAACAACGATTATTTAGTGAAGTGGTTGTGAAAAGCAGAGGTAGCAGCAGAAGTAGCAACAAGAGCATAAAAATAAAAAAAAAATAGTAAAAAAAAACGGTAAAAAGAAGAAGCAAGCAAGGCAAACATGAACTAAATTTTGCACGAAAGACGAGAAACCAGCAGTTTTTATTGTAAAAAGTTCGTGTTAGAGTGGAGCTGTAGCAAAATTGATACCAGTAAAAAAATTATTTTCACATAAACTAGGGCCAAGCTCTGATGTTGGGAGCATTGTAAGGTGGTAAAAAGTGGCACTGACGATACCAGTAATATTAGCAGCAGCGCAGTGGCAGAACAACGGGCAGAGGTACCGTGAAAGAAGAAGCAATTGAGACTTTAGACAAATAATACTACGAATAGCAGGGGGACGTCCAAAACGCACAAATTGCCCACAGAAACAACTTGATATAACAGAAAGTAAATGAAATATGTTGAAAGTCAAAGAAGAAAAGAGGAGAATGGCTGCGTGAGCTTCGCAGTGGCGGTAAGCGCCAATTAAATTTTGTGTGGTGGCCTCAAAACAAAAAGAACTAGAAAAAGTATATTTTATGAAGAAAAAGCTAATATCTGCAGAAAAGTGTTTCGGACATTAAATGCGAAGTATTTGAATAAAATACAAATTAAGATTTCAATAAAAGCTTAGAAAACCAATTGCAGACAGGTAAATACACGATTAGCTGGTAGTATCCAATAACAGTCGTGCTCGTAACTTTAATAGTATATTCTACTACCAGAATAGAACTTGCTCGGATCTTCAGAACATACGGTGTAAACTGAATTGAATCAAGTAACTCAGCCAAACAATAAAAATCGATCGAAAGTCGGACATCAACGCATAGAACTTGCGATACATCACAACAGAGAATGTATGGAAAAGCTAAAACATCATCAGTGCCGTCAGATGCACAGGCACGTGAAAAACTGGCGCTATATGTTTACGAATACCTGTTACATGTTGGTGCCCAGAAAGCAGCGCAAACTTTTCTATCTGAAATTCGATGGGAAAAGAACATTACGTTAGGCGAGCCTCCCGGATTCCTACATACATGGTGGTGTGTATTTTGGGATCTATACTGTGCCGCTCCAGAGCGCCGTGATCAATGTGATCACTCATCAGAGGCAAAGGCCTTCCATGACTACGGCTTTGTTAGTTCCGGCTACGGAGTAAACGGCATTGGGCCTGGTGGACCACATAGTGCTGGCGGCCCGGCCCCCAGCCCATTGGGTCAAATGCCACCAGGTGGCGAAGGTCCCATGGGACCCGGAGGACCAATGGGTCCTAATTTCTTTCCGAATTCCACAATGCGCCCATCACCACCGACGCATGCGTCAAGTCCACAGCCACCACCATCTCAAATGATGCCTGGCCAACCACCATTTATGGGTGGTCCTCGATATCCTGGCGGCCCACGTCCTGGCGTGCGCATGCAAGGAATGGGAAATGAGTTTAACGGGCCACCTGGTCAACCAATGATGCCGAATAGTATGGATCCAACGCGACCAGGCGGAATGGGTCCCATGAATCCGCGAATGAATCCCCCTCGTGGTCCTGGTGGTATGGGTCCAATGGGATATGGAGGTCCAGGAGGCATGCGAGGCCCAGCACCTGGCCCAGGTGGTATGCCACCAGGCATGGGAATGGGCGCAGGCGGAAGGCCACCCCAGTGGCAACCTAACGCCACAGCTCCTATGAACGCGTATTCATCCTCTTCACCTGGTAACTATGGACCCGGACCTGGTTCCAATGGGCCCCCTGGTCCCGGAACGCCGATCATGCCATCACCCCAGGATAATACACAAGCAGGTCCTGGTGGTCCTGGCGATAATATGTATTCGATAATGAAACCCGAATTCCCAATGGGCGGAGGACCTGACGGCGGGGGAGGTGGTCCAGGCGGCATGGGTCCTATGGGTGGTGGTCCTAACACAATGGGTCCTGTACTTAACGGCGGCGGTGGGGATGGCACCGGTTTAGATGGTATGAAAAATTCACCGGCAAATGGCGGTCCTGGTACGCCGCGTGAAGATTCCGGTAGCGGAATGGGCGATTATAACCTGGGTGGATTTGGTGGTCCAGGTGAAAACGATCAAAACGAATCAGCGGCTATACTAAAGATAAAGGAAAGCATGCACGAAGAGGCGAAACGGTTTGAAAAAGATTCTGAACACCCGGATTATTTTATGCAATAACAACATAGCAGCAACAACCCGGCCCCTACGCACACAACAGCGGCAGCAGTAACTGCTGCAGCGGCGGTTGCAGCAGCAGCTGCGGCTCTCGGCGCCAACATGTTGAGCGGAACAGCCGCAGCCGTTGCCCACAATCTTAGCACCAACAACAACGGCGGAACCAGCGGTAACAACAATCTCATCAACCATGCAAGCAACAGTAGTCCCTCAGCAGTGACGCCGCATTTTCCTAAGGATCTTAATTTTTAATTTAAAGTTCTTTTTTTTAAGGACTAATGAACCGAATCAAATGTTTACTAAAAGAAATAAAAATGTGCTGAAAAGCAACCCACTGGACATGAAGCAATGGCAGCAAATAGGAAATTGTTATAAAAAATATCAAAGTAAAACTAAAGATCAGACGTACACGTACATATATGTAAAATTATGGCATTAACATTACCAAGTAATAGAAAAAGTCTAAAAGGATGTAAAAGTTGTTCGGGTCGTATATGGGAATGCACTGTACAGCTGACAATGGGCGGATAACGTAGAAGAATTCCAAAACTCAATACAGCTACCCTAAATTACCTCTCGAGTAACTCTTACATTGAAAAATTTGCAGAGAGTATTAAAATTGTACAAAGGAAAAGCGCAATTAAACAAAAAATAATAATAATAGACAATGGATGACCGATTTTTTTAAATAAATGCACTCAAATTAAAAGAAGTCCCTAGTTCGAATACGAAAAGTTTAAGAGTCAGGAAACGGATTCTTTTTTATGTGTGGAAGTATACGCATGTCTTATATTTCGACAAGCTAAGCATAAAGCAAGTTTAAAAGGTGGGATATATATTAAAAATGCGTAAAGGCACATTTATGTAAAAAAAAAGTAAACATATATACCACTAATTGTAAATCTTAAAATAGGATGAAAATTATAACTGCATAAATATATTGTACTTATCAAAGCGAACTTAAACTGTAAAATATTAAAAATAAACGACTACACATACAAACATACTTATATTATTACTACATTAAAGTGGAGAAAAACATCGTATAGATATAAATTTATACCTATTTAGAATACGGTTAGCACCATAGGAGTAAATATGTATATTAGTCTGTTCCAGTACTCCAGGGTTTAGTCACACTTAGCCTGGAAGATATTTCTAAAGATATTATAAATGTGTGTACTTCTGTCTAAAGCCTGGAGTCCTGGAACAGGCTAAGTGTATCTGTACTCTAATTCCACATTAGCGTGAAATTACAAGTATGTATAATATGAAAGGCCGCGAAGAGCAGTATTGCAGCTGGAAGTGCTGCGATTCGGTACAATTGCAACTCTAAATATAATAAGGGTACTCATTTAAAAGCGCAAAACTCTCGCAAACTGGGCAATTGTAAACCCACGCAAATGAAATGTCAAAATGTATTGAAAGCCGTTTCTACAAAAAGGGCCATTTTGTCGCGCAAATTTGCGCAGTGTGATGTGCAACCCTCGAGCAACTACATTATATACTTTCTTTTTTATTTATGCTCAACGCTCTTTCGTAAGACTTAAATATTTACTAAATGTGAGTTTAAATTGTTAAACTTTTAAATTACGTATTGTCAAATAATTAAATGTCAGAAATTGCACAAAATATTAAATTGTCCTCATGAAACACACTGCGCAAATTCGCCCAATTGCCCAAATATAAAACGTACGAGTATAGGTGAAGACCCTTAATAAATTCATAATAGGTTAAAAAGTATGATAAATCATGTACAGTCAGTCAATAAAGTTTAGGTACAGCGAATTTTTTACAATACGGGCAACTATTTTTTAAATATTTTATTTTTCGCTAATTTTTTATAAAAATATGGCTAATTCTACAACAAAAACCTCAAAAATCAAAGTTTCAAACTTTGTGCGAAATTAAAGAAAATTCTGCAAAATTTCATTCAAATATTGCACTTTTTATTTACGCTCTCTAGAAAAAAGTTGAATATGCAGTTTTATAGCCCATTCAATTTTAGTATAAGAAAGTGCAAGCATGAGGAAGCTACGACTTATTTTATATGGAGAAAATGGGCGACACCTTTCACAAAAAAAAGTGCTAAAAATCAACGGTAAGTTACCTCAAACTTGCACTTTGTTATACTAAAATTGAATGGGCTAAAAAACTGCATATTCAACTTTTTTCTAGAGAGCGTAAATAAAAAGTGCAATATTTCAATGAAATTTTGCAGAATTTTCTTTAATTTTGCACAAGGTTTGAAACTCTGATTTTTGGGGTTTTTATTGTAGAATTAACCATATTTTTATAAGGAATTATCGAAAAATATAATATTTGAAAAATAGTTGCCAGTATTGTAAAAAATTTGCTGTACTTAAACTTTATTGACTGACTGTATGTAAAATTTTACATTTAAACTAAATGGAAATATACATACATAAATCACAAATATTCATCGGAGAGTAAAGCTTGAATTTTACAAACAAACAAAAATTCTCGTTGCATTAGATAAATGTAAAATAATGGATTTTGGGTGAAGATAAACCGTTATATTCATTTATTTTTTCGAAAGTGCGAGCACCACCTTACTTATTTTTGATAAAATGTGACAGTTGCTGAACAAAGAAATACATATATACATTGGCGGTCACGTACAAAGTTTAAACCATTTTTAAGGTGTTCTTGCACGATATGTATTTGCATCTGTAAATGTGACTTTTTCAATACATATGAAATTGCGTATGTCTGTCAAATTCACGGTCTTTATTTAACTATTTAAAAATACGTTCTTTGAAAATGAAATAAACTAAACTCAGATGATTCTATCAGTGTGTCAGATGAAAATAGAAACATTTCTATTTCGTATGTACGTGCATCTGCTTTGTACAGAAACAAATCTAGTTTGCTTTTACATGATATGTTAACATTTCCATATGTGAAAAGTGACATGTACACATGCAAATACATATCGTGCAAGCACACTTTTATGAAGTAGTATTTCGTACATTATTATCGATTTTTTATTTTTTTTTTTATTTACGTACATAGTTCAGTATATAAAAAAAACTATAAACAAAAGATTCAAACTTTGTACAAAATTTAGAAAACTTCATAAATTTTCAAACTTTTTAATCGATTCTTTTGGGAAAATTTCGGGTATGCAGTTTTATCGCTCATTAAATTTTAGTATAATAATGTGCAATTTAAATTAACTGATTTTTTTTTTTTAATTAAGGTACGAATTTCTACTTCATCAAATAAATAATAGCGGTGGTAAGTTAGGCATTACTGTCAGTGTATATACATACACACATACATATGTATGTATGCAAGTGACAGCAGCATATTTACATGTTGATCTCAATACTACGCCCTAGCCCCAACGTACGCCTGCATGGTTTCTATGGCAAATGCTACACGTTAGGATCGAGACATTAATTAACCTTTATTTGAATGTTTAGAAATCTTGATCGCAGATCCCGTAATAAATATTATGTGTTTGCTTAAGTCATAAATATTGAGCGTGTAGCCATTGCCCAACATGCATACATATATCTCAGAAATTTGAAATCATAATACTTCTGCAGTACATATGAAAAAGCAGTAAACAAAATAAATAAATTTGCACGTGGAACAACATAATTTATTCAATAATTGGAATATGATTTTATTAAAAATATGTACATATGTATTTATAAAGATAAATAGGAATCGAATATCAATCAAACAATTGTTGAAGTGCATGAATCTGCTTTTTGTATGTATTATGGAGGTGTGTATGTATTTCGAAACAATCAATCTATCAGGCGTGTTCCCATTTTCAGAATTTCGGAATTTGGTTCATGTTCTCTTAAATTTGTAAATAGCAAAATTATCGAATGGGTTTCTTGGGAAACGTTGGAATGAAAACGTTATTTCTCAAATCGTTTAATTTAAAATTAAGTGAAAATAAAAATAGAATATAATTTTACAATTCAAAGCTCAAACTCACACACACCTCAAACCATAACAATTTGGAACAATTACTATTATTTTTTTTTTTTTTAATTATATTTTATATGATTTTGAAATACCTTCAAACGTCTGAAAAGAGTCATGGTCGACGAATTGAGAGAATGTTTTTACCTATATAATGTTTTTTTTATTACGGCACAGTTGTATGTAAAAAAAACGTCCCCAAAATAAAAACCGCAAGAAATTTGATTTTCTGAGGTTTACAAGAATTTTCTTGCCTGCTGATAAGCAAGCGATATTGAAAGGTGGTGCTGTGACGGCGCATGTAAAATATAATAAATCAAGTAAATAAATATGTTGCAAATATTTTTTATTCGCATACATCTTAAACAGATCAAAAATTATATAAACACAAAAACAATGCAAAAATAAAAAAAAATAAAAAACTGAAAAATATTGAATACTAGCATACATATATTTAATATGATAGAAAGAGTGATTGTACGGCAGAGGAAAAAGTAAATATCCCCCCTACACGTACATACATACATACATATGTAAGCATTAGATATAAAAATATTACCGTATGCCTACATACATACACACACATATATATTATAAATATATCAATACATAACTTAATATTGTACAAAAGTTTAAAATTATTGCTATTTAAATACAATTAAAGAAATATGCATATTTAAATAAAATATTTACTTATTATACTTAAAAAAAAATATAATTATTATTTTAGTGCTAGAGTATTACAACTTAAAAGTCTTTATATTTAGTTATAATTAACTAAAAGGAAAGGGACAACACACATAACTAGAAGATAATACATAAAAAACGTAAAATCCTTAAAAAAAAAATACAAAAAATGGTTGAATTAAAAACTATTTATAAATAAGTGCGATGTACGTTAGTAATGAAAATAAAAACAGTTTGTATGCATGCATTGTACAAAAAATATATGTATGTACGTACATGTGTGCATTGTATTGTGCTTAAAATATTTTTCTTCGTTTTTCATAGCTACGCGTTTCAATTCTTCCTAACTTTTGTGTCCTTAGAGCGGTTTAGTCTTATTTTTCATATCCCAAAAATTAGAGTTAACTTTGTTTAAGATTTTTTTTTAAGCATTGTAAAAACTTAAAAGTCGAATCAAAAATTAATGCTGAAATATCAGTATGAATTAAAAACGAAAAAGTCAGCTAATACTAAAAAAAAAATTAAATACATACATGACATTTGATGTAAAACGATCAAATAGCGCTAAATGTTTGAAGAATCCGCAAATTAATTTGAATTAGAGCACAATATACACATACATACATAACTTAAATTACTCACTTGACAAAATAAGAAAAAGATAAAATAATAGTTTGCATAACAAGCGAGACATGAAAAAGTTAATTTAGCAATTTAGACTACATACATACATAAACATAAGCTTAAATTGAAAGCATGGAAATTAAAATTTTGAATACGTCGTACATATTAAGGGTGTGAAAGACGATATATGTAGGCAATGAATGCACACTTTTATGCAATAAATGTCATTGAAGCCGATGATGAACGTGATCATCGTGATTAGGCTTATGCCCACGGTAATATTTCGTGATGAAGATGTGAATTTTTTTTTTGCAATTTGTATGCATGAAATGATAAATTAAAACGCTGCAGTAAATCTTAAGTAAAAGTAACATACAAAAAAAAAAGATAAAGTAAAAAAAAAAAATAAAATAAAATTTGAAAAACGAATTAATGAAATGTGGTGGTGAATTCTGCAAATATGTTTAAAGTAAGTATTTTTAGTGTTAATTATATACAATTTGCAAATAGCTTAACACACATGAAAATCCAAAAAAAAAAATATACATAAATAAAGTGTGAAAATGATGAATAAAGTTTTAAAACAAGAATATTTGTAAAAAGTATAAAAAGAACTCAATATTGTTTCAATGAGTTTTGTATTTCTCTCTTGGAAACAATGGAAGATGCAGAGGGGAGGAAGGTAGCGGTGAAGATAATTTTATACACTGTCGGCACGGAGCGGATGCGCTCTCTCTTTGGCCACATTCACAGAGCAGGTGCAATGGTGCGCTTAGTTGAATTGCAGAAACGACAGAGGTCATTCTACCAGATTCCCAACTTCTGCAGATGTTTTAGCCTGCAATATCCAGGGTTATGGAGTGGCTCGAGTTCAGGAACTAACTCTAGGTTAGGCCAGACGTACATATTTATGTAATGCAACAGCAATCATTTGTTACCGATAACGACGAGACCAATACCGACAGATGTCGACGATGACAACCACAAAAAGGATGTATGTATTCGAACTGCAATAAATTCTGCAGAGTTCTTCTTATGAAAGCATCACGTTCCACGCGAATATATGGACGAATATGCCTGCTTGCTCATCATGAGCCATTTCAAATGCAACAAAGCATCAGCAAGTGAGCACGAAGAAAGCACCAAGATTACATTTTTTTTTTTTTTAAATCAATTTATTAGATTAGATAAGCATAAAAAAGTCACTCATATATTTACAAAAATTTACTATTTTTCTATTTCTTCTTTTGAATTACTCCGAGGTTTTAGTTCAGTAGGTTTAAATTCCCTTTCATTATCAATATCTCTTCACTGCACACCAAATCGTTCAAATGTGCTTTGTATGCTTGTGCTGCGTTGGTAAAGGCTTCTATGCGGCATTACGAGTGCGTGCCGACTGCCGCTGGGCACGCAAAAAATGCTTCCGCTGCGCTGGTTTCTGCTTTTAAAGATAGTATTGTCTCTATCAGCGGACGACATATTGGAGCTGGGTAGACTATTGTTGCGTCTTGACACAATAAAAGTATCTTCGAGGCAGATGGTGTTAGCGCGATTCGTACTCTAAGCATCGTAATAATAATTGCATTAATTTTAATTTTACGTACGTAAATGTATGCATATCACTAAAGCATTAAGCCTGTTCCAGGAACTTCACGATTTACAGAATTTTAAAGGACACTGTTCCCGCACGCCACCTTTTATAAGGTTTATTAATGGCTGAAACAGCTTGTCTTGTTAACCTTGCAAATCCTGAAACAGCCTTATTATCGTACTCACCCAACGCTCCAAATCACAGAAATGTATTTCATAAATACAGGAAGCGGGCAAACGTGTGTCAATGCCACTCTCAATGGCACAACTACATCCGGTTATATTGAGTGCGTTACATCTCGGTCCGACTGTGCCACCACACATACATACCCCAGTAGGTGCACAAGGTTTGAACTTAGGTTTCGTGACACGTAAATGTAGTCCGCTATTTGTAGAAAAGAGCACCGGGGTGGTATGTTTGGTTTTTGGGTTTGAATATGGCTTCTGGTAAGTGCTGGTACCGTTCGTTGACTCTGTGCCATTTTCACGCTGATGCGCGTTTCCGGCAAACCCACTTTGAGAGCGCTTTCGTACGGGCGATGTTGTTTGTGGCGACTCGTCGCTATCGGTTGCCCCTGAGGTGCAAGGATTCCTCCAATTCCAAGGTGCCATGCAATTAATGCTTTTATTAAGGTGTTAATATTACTAAAATTTTTCTTCCATATCTACATGCGTATATTGCACCGTCAGAGTGTACTAATAGTAATATTGATTTATTTCGCTTGTATTGTTTTTTTGGTTTGCATGGCTTCTTATCTTTGTTCAAAGCATCTTAATTCCTACAACTACGAAGTATGTAAATACAGAAAAATTTGTACATAGCTAAGTTGCTACCAAACTATGCTCGCGAGTTGGAGGCTTTCAGACGACTAAAAGGCCGAAAGAGACGAAATTACATCCAACGCTTTTGCTTCTGGCTATTTTTATCTTTTCGTGCAAGTTTGTAGCAGTGTGGAATATAGCAGTGATTTTAACGTGGCTAAACTAGCCTGACTTCTAACTCCCATAACTGCTGTGCTGGTAATTTTTGTCTTTGACAACCCTCGAAAAGCAATTCTTCTATGAAGTTCTGTTGACTTACGGGGTAGGGGTGTGTAGCACTGTTTGTTTGGCTTGGTTACGTTTCGTATTTATTTCTCCTGTTGCTCGTTATGCTGGCCAAACAATTCAATAGTATTGAATACAATATTTATGAATAAGTTTAACTACTAATTTTTTTTTCAAACCCGCCGCATTTTTAAAGAAATGAAGTGTATTTGAGCAAGTTATAACATGACTTAATTTAAAATTATTATTTCTACACAATTATGTAAATAAAATTGATTGGCCCATGGGATAAGTACGTATGGTAGGCATGGATTTTTATATCGAATTGCTGGTAAGCGCCGCCATCAAGAACTCCATTTTATTGAGGAAACTCTTACCTTCGATTTTGTCAAAGCGGACCTAGGAAAGTCAATTGATAGTTAACGTTTAGACCGATATTTTATAAACTTGACTTACTTCTTTGAAATGACCTCCTAAATTTTCCCAGAATTTCTCTGGCACCAGTGGATTGGGTATAAAGTCTGGGCGTGGACTCCGAGCAATATAAACCTTAACATCGATTTGCGGGTCGCAACGTATTTGCACCGCGATCATACGATCACCATTCGGTGAAGCCAATAAACAAGAACTAGCATTGCCCAGAGGTTCGACTTTGCCAATGCCGAGGTTGTTGCTATTAGATAGAACCGTCCAAGCCATACAGCGCGCCAAATTTAGCAAACATGATATCTGGTGCGAATTTATCTGACAAAGTATAAGATCGCGCAACTCCTGTGGCTCGTACGAAAGATGCATTACACGGCCATCACGGCAAATGCATTTTAGGGAACGCTCCTTTACGTGTATTACCAGAGACGTACGATTTATTGTGTCGTAGCTGAAATCACAATGAAAAAATGTATGTATGTATGCATATTTTTACATTCATTCAATTCCTTCTACTTACCCATGGGTCACAATATTAATCTTCACACATGACATGGTTGGACTATTCATTGCATTCCAATGTGACACAATCTGAGGATCCTTAACATCACGCGCTAAAGTGTCTAATACGTATTGCGTCCGTTTGCGCATAAATATATGTTGGGCTTGGGCAATTATTTGTTCCAGTATAGTTTGCGACTTGGTCATCTCAAGTAAACTTTGACGATCTGCCGCCTTAGGACCAGCAAGCATGCGCTTTTTACTGGGCCCTAATGGTCCACTTGTTGGATGTGGAAAAGGATGATGAGAATTCTTGTGATGTACTTCACGCAAAAGTTGATGCAATGAATGTTCAAGCACATGATCATGGTCATTTATTGGTCCCGGTTGGCTGGAATCGAACGTTGTGGAGTGACATAGTGAAATAATGAGTTGTATTCCTGGGAGAAGAGTGGCACGAATCTGATTGCCAATAACAACATGCGGTATTGGGGCTTGCAACTGAATGGCTTCGCGTGCAAGCTGAGAGAATAATTCTTTACAAAATAGTACATTTTGTGCAAATTCTAAAGTTTTCTGCCAAACACCTGCCTTTAATTTAAAACTCGTTTAATTATGTGTTAATAAACCTTGTGTCTGAATTAACTGCATCTTACCTGCTGTGTTATATTAGGTCCATGTCCCATAAGATTAACATTAGCAGTGCATAGATCTTCCTGATCTTTTTGAGTGATAACTTTTATGTAGGCTACTCCTTGTAGTTCGGCCGGGACAATAACTCGCAAGGATGAAGTGGTTTTTGGTGATTGAGTGGGCAAGCCATTATTCCCACTACATGCAATACTTCCTGACGCATTGTCATCATCAGTTACATCTTCAGCTTTTGTCACTTCGAATGTGCCACTCATTCCGAATTTCGATCCAGCAGTGCGATAACTTAAATCACCAATAATAGCATTGGAAACTTTCTTAAGTCGCCAATTCTGTCGCAGTCGAAGTAGTTCTATGTGAAAATCTGTTACATTGCGGTTTCGTTGCTCACTATGTGAATTACGCAGACGCTCAGCGCCACCTAAAAGAACCTGTGCTGCTTGTCCCAAAGCCTTTTTACGACTATAAACTTGCACAATAGGTTTAGTCTCGTCGGGATCTTCTGGAACAGGATCCAAAACTAAGTAACGTTTATCTTTAGCTATTGTTATGACATCAGAAAGCACGCAAACTTCCGTGAAAGCATCATTTAATTTGTTTCGAACTGAGTCCCAAGGCCACAGGCTTGGCTGAAATTGTGATGGATCTTTCTCATCTTCTGTAGACTTGTCTTCCTTTTTCAAATCGTCGAGAGAAGTTTTACTGAAATCGATTCGCGCTGCACAGCGAGCTAGCGTTTCAGATAGAGTGGGTGGCCTATTGGGAAAAGATTAAAAGTGTCGCGAGATATTTTTTTTTTACATGCTGAATGCACTTACGGTTGATAGATTTCGGTGCCATCGTAGGTAATTTCCTGTATTTGATTTTCACACGTTGTTTCAACCGACACATTTACGCTGCTTGTAATATTCATTTTTAGTTGCCTATTTTATAACAAACGGCAACATAAAAAAGTATTTCAACTAAAAACCGGTCAAGTTACAACTTTTACAAACAATAAATAAAATCTTCATCTTCGAAGAATAATCATTCACAGATGCAAATAAACCAAGCCTCCGATAATAGAGGATAAGAAATCGATAATTTTGTCTCATTTGTGCCATGATTTTTTGTCTATATTACAAAACAGAAATAGCAAGTTTCAAAATTACGAAAGTCACCTTTGAAGATCGTGTACGAAATGTTGCAACCGTTGGTTTAATTCGATTCCAAAGAGCGTGTCAAACTTGGCAATATTTCCAGCTTTTGCACGCAAAGAGAAATTTTATTTCGACGTCCGAACAGCCAGAAAGACCTTTCTGTCACTTTTTGGAAATTATTGTGCAAGGTGTGCCTGCGATTGAAAAAGCGAAATTCGATTTCGGAAATGTATTTCAACTTGCTCGCGCTGCACCTCGTGCCTGGGTAAAAGATTGTCGTAAGCGCAATTTTGACGATTTAGTTCTAGATGCAGTTATATATTTTGAAATAAGGTCTTTCGATAAGTTTTCAGATATCTCCTTTAGTTTCCGAGATATTGACTACAAATTTTTCTATAATTTAGTAAAAATTTAGTTAGTAATGCAGCCTTATTAAACTAATCAATATCTTAAAAATGACGTTCTCCATTTTTAGATATCTCCTTTAGTTTCCGAGATATTGAGTAAAAAGTGTCGTTAATTTAGTAGATATTTTGATCACATTTTGTAGTATTTCATACAAAGTGGACAAATGACG